CTGAAGGCCAATTTATACTTCTGCGTAGGGTGCGCGCAGTAGGTACGGCGTAGCATACGCACAGACGCGTCCCATTGCGCGTACCCTTCGCCGTCGCCTGACGTGCACCTCCTCAAAAATGTAACTACACGTCGCGACGACGCGGACCGCAAGATCGGTGATTGGTCGGCTTGGTAGCATCGCATTTCCTCCTACGCATTTCCGCACATACCTTCTCACGCATTTCCATCACTGTCTATGATTTCCACACGTACCATCTCCTCCGACGTCTTCTCTCATTTCTGCCTTTCATTTTTAGTAATTTCACTAAAGTGAACTGTTTTTCCACCTCAATAAGCTCCAACTCCAACATGATCCACTCTCTTTCAATCGCTATTGCTTGTAGTAACCTAGCCGCGAGGAATCTAAACACAGTGGAACATTAAAACTCTCCGCCGCCAACTAGCGTTTCGGAGCAGTACTGCAGAGCAACAAGACCTGAACGCAGAAGTATAAATGCTCATAACGGCGTCGCCTACGTGCGTAGCCAACGCCGCACATTACGGCGTACCCTCGACGCAAAAGTATAAATTGGCCTTTAGTCCGGTCTTTTGCATTTTACAGTGGGTGAATCTGTTGTCACTGGTGATCGTCGTTCAAACCTTTCTAGATCCGCCATCAAATTGATGTTTAATTATATCAAGTACTGTGAGAAAAGGCTATAAATCTCCACCTCCAACATCCTCACACGCAATATAGCTTATACTAGCCAAGACTCCATCTTTATGTCTACAGATGTGATGTAATGACTCAATATAGCCTACTAGCTGAGACTCTTCTTCATGTGTACAGATGTGATGTAATGATTCAATATAGCCTACTAGCTGAGACTCTTCTTCGTGTGTAAAGATGTGATGTAATGACTCAATATAGCCTACTAGCTGAGACTCTACTTTATGTGTACAGATGTGACGTAATGACTCAATATAGCCTACTTGCCGAGACTTGATTAGGAGGCCATGATGGACAGAGGCCACTGGGCAAATTTGGGATTTTTAATGACCACAGAGAGTCAGGACCTCGGTTTAACGTCTCATCTGAAGGACGGAGCTCTTTGACAGTATAGTATCCCCATTACTATACTGGGCCATTAGGACCCACACAGACCACAGGGTGAGCACCCCCTGCTGGCCTCACTAACACCTCTTCCAGCAGCAACCTGGCTTTCTCAGGTCATCCATCCAGGTACTAACCAGGCTCAGCCCTGCTTAGCTTCAGTGGGCAAGCAGTCTTGGGCTACAGGGTGATATGGCTGCTGGCAAGATATAGATATAGATAGAGATATAGCCTACTAGCTGAGACTCTTCTTTATTTGTACAGATGTGACGTAATGACTCAATATAGCCGACTAGCCGAGACTCTTCTTTATGTGTACAGATGTGATGTAATGACTCAATATAGCCTACTAGCTGAGACTCTTCTTTATTTGTACAGATGTGACGTAATGACTCAATATAGCCGACTAGCCGAGACTCTTCTTTATGTGTACAGATGTGACGTAATGACTCAATATAGCCGACTAGCCGAGACTCTTCTTTATGTGTACAGATGTGATGTAATGACTCAATATAGCCTACTAGCTGAGACTCTTCTTCATGTGTACAGATGTGATGTAATGATTCAATATAGCCTACTAGCTGAGACTCTTCTTTGTGTGTAAAGATGTGATGCAATGACTCAATATAGCATACTAGTCGAGACTCCTTGTTTATGTGGATAGATGTGACGTAATGACTCAATATAGCTTACTAGCTGAGACTCTTCGTTATGTGTCCAGATGTGACGTAATGACTCAATATAGCCTACTTGCCGAAACTCCTTCTTTACGTGTCCAGATGTGACGTAATGACTTAATATAGCCTACTTGCCGAGACTCCTTCTTTATGTGTACAGATGTGACGTAATGACTCAATATGGCCTACTAGCCGAGACTCTTCTTTATTTGTACAGATGCAACGTTATGACTCAATATATCCTACTAACCGAGACTCTTTTTTATGTGTACAGATGTGATGTAATGACTCAATATAGCCTACTAGCTGAGACTCTTCTTTGTGTGTAAAGATGTGATGCAATGATTCAATATAGCCTACTAGCTGAGACTCTTCTTTGTGTGTAAAGATGTGATGCAATGACTCAATATAGCATACTAGTCGAGACTCCTTGTTTATGTGGATAGATGTGACGTAATGACTCAATATAGCTTACTAGCTGAGACTCTTCGTTATGTGTCCAGATGTGACGTAATGACTCAATATAGCCGACTAGCCGAGACTCTTCTTTATTTGTACAGATGCAACGTTATGACTCAATATATCCTACTAACCGAGACTCTTTTTTATGTGTACAGATGTGATGTAATGACTCAATATAGCCTACTAGCTGATACTCTTCTTCATGTGTACAGATGTGATGTAATGATTCAATATGGCCTACTAGCCGAGACTCTTCTTTATGTGTACAGATGTGACGTAATGACACAATATAGCCTACTATCTGAGACTCTTCTTCGTGTGTAAAGATGTGATGCAATGACTCAATATAGCATACTAGTCGAGACTCCTTGTTTATGTGGATAGATGTGACGTAATGACTCAATATAGCTTACTAGCTGAGACTCTTCGTTATGTGTCCAGATGTGACGTAATGACTCAATATAGCCTACTTGCCGAGACTCCTTCTTTACGTGTCCAGATGTGACGTAATGACTCGATATAGCCTACTTGCCGAGACTCCTTCTTTATGTGTACAGATGTGACGGAATGACTCAATATAGCCTACTAGCCGAGACTCTTCTTTATTTGTACAGATGCAACGTTATGACTCAATATATCCTACTAACCGAGACTCTTTTTTATGTGTACAGATGTGATGTAATGACTCAATATAGCCTACTAGCTGAGACTCTTCTTCATGTGTACAGATGTGATGTAATGATTCAATATGGCCTACTAGCCGAGACTCTTCTTTATGTGTACAGATGTGACGTAATGACACAATATAGCCTACTATCTGAGACTCTTCTTCGTGTGTAAAGATGTGATGCAATGACTCAATATAGCCTAGTAGTCAAAACTCCTTGTTTATGTGGATAGATGTGACGTAATGACTCAATATACCCGACTAGCTGAGACTCTTCGTTATGTGTCCAGATGTGACGTAATGACTCAATATAGCCTACTAGCCGAGACTCTTTTTCATTTGTACAGATGTGACTTAATGACTCAATATACAGTAGCCTACTAGCCGAGACTCTTCTTTATTTGCACAGATGTGACGTAATGACTCAATATAGCCGACAAGCCGAGATTCTTCTTTATGTGTACAGATGTGACGTAATGACTCAACATAGCCTACTAGCCAAGACTCTTCTTTATGTGTACAGATGTGACGTAATGACTCAACATAGCCTACTAGCCAAGACTCTTCTTTATGTGTACAGATGTGACGTAATGACTCAATATAGCTGACCAGCCGAGAATCCTCTTTATGTGTACATATGTGATGTAATGATGCAAAGACATGCTCGAATCTCCCACGGAAATCCACCAGTACCACTGGAGTTAAAAACATTAGGTGACACTTTATTTCGATAGTCCACTGTAGACATTTTACTAACTATAAGTAACTTTTCAACTACATGTCAACTAACTGTCATTAGAGTATTAGTAGACTGTCAGCTTAATATCTGCTAACACTTTATTTTGTTGGTCCCCCAACAGACATTCAACTGACTATAAGTAACTTGGCGACTACAAGTAAACTTATTCTCCTAACCCGAACCCTAACACCTAACCATAACCTACCAGTCTACTGACAGTCTACTATAATATACTACTACTCTAATGAGAGTTAGTTGACGTGTAGTTGAAAAGTTACTTATAATTAGTAGAACGTCTAAAGTGACTATCGAAATAAAGTGTAACCAAACATTATTACAATCTTACCCCTTTGAATCGAGCTACAGCAAGCAGAGTGTTTTGAACACTGGCTGGTTATGTATTTTCTCAAATATGTATTTCGGATAATTTTGAACCCCCAATATGCTACGGACTGCAGCTTTAAAGTGTATTTTAGTAACCATAAATGCTTGTCAGTACATTCAGCGGTACAGCTTAACCATATTTGTAGGTCTGTTGTATATTAATAATGTACTCAAGTCCTACTCGTGTCAAACAGCATTCCAACGTTCAGTTAATTCCATATCATATAATTTCAAACTAAAATGCATTGTCATTTAATAGCAATTAACATTACCAATAAAAGGAATAGTTCACCGAAAAATAATAATTCTGTCATCATTTGCTCACCCTCAAAATGATCCAGATTTTTAATTTCTTTCTTCGGCTGAACACAAAAGAAGATATTCTGAAGAATGTCAGTAACCAAACAGTTGATGAACCCCATTGACTTGTAGTATTTTTTCCCCATACTTTGGAAGTCAGTGGGTCCGTCAGCTGTCTTGTCACCGACATTCTTCAAAATATCTTCTTATGTGTTCAACAGACATTCATACAACTTTGGAACAACTTGAGGGCGCATAAATGACAGAATTGTAATGTTTGGGTGAACCAACCCGTGAAGTGCATGAAAACATTACATTCAGTTTGCACTCATTGTAATTATCTTTTAAAGTCTATTATTTCCATAATAAGTACTCTTTTAAAACTATGCTAAAGTGTACTTCTTTTTCACAAAGACATGATGTCTTGTCAGACTCCCAAACTGTTCCGTTCACGTTCAGACTGATTCTTGAAGCATTTGCAATTAGTGTCTGTGTCCCTACATGATGAATAATTATCACCTCTGCTAATCATTGGGAAAACTTCATTAAGTATGAATGAAATGTATTGTGAGCTTCATTTGAATGCTATCATTTTGATTAAAAGTCAGCATGACGCCGCATGCTTTGGTTCATTTGAGTGAATTATTGTAATTAAAGGAGGGAAGAACACACTGACCTTAACCACGTCTTCATCAGTGGACTGGCAGAGCACAGCGTCAGACACGTCTGTAACCGTCCCATCTGTGCCCACCGTTACCACCTTCACTGGCACCGCCACTGTCTTCCCGGTCAGCACTGCAGTGTTCAGGATCTCCGATTCCTGCCAGCACAGACATAACAAACAGCCTTCCATCATCACTCACTCTTTCCTTCCTTCATTTATGCCTCTTTAAAGATTATAGCATTTTTTATGGTAATATAATTATTATTATACTATAATTGCCTTGCATTGTTCTAGTCAGGCCACATATTGGAGTCGGAGATACTGCAGTATGTCATTTCTTTACCGAAAGCGTCACTAAATAACGGCCGTGCAGTTTTTCATTTGTCTTTTTTTCATTCCTTTGTTCTTTTCTTCCTTCATTCTTTCCGTACTTCAGTCATTAACATGTTTGATCACTTGTTTGTTAATTGTCATTCCTTCCTTTATATTTATCCTCCCTTCATTAATCCATTTAGGTCATTCTTCTGTTCTTTTCATCATTTATTCCTCCTCCTTCCATCCATTCATTCGTTCTTTCACTCACCTTTACTCACTTATTCATTCATTGATTCAATCCTTCATTTGTTTCTATTCCCTTCTTCTTTGATTTCCATCCATTCACCCTCCTCCTATAATTCATTCATTATCTTATCTGTTCCTTTCTTCCTCCTCCTTCCTCATTTCTTTTTTCATTATTCATTAATTCTTTGGTTCTTTCATTCACTCGTTTCTTCGTCTTTCCATCATCATCAAACCACCTGTCCTTCATTCCTTAATTTCTATCCATCCATCATTCAATAATTCATTCCTTCATTATTTCCATTCTACTGTACATTTATTCATTCACTTTTTCATTCAGTTGTCATTCCTTGCTTCTTTTTATCCTCCCCTTTTCTATTTTTAATTCATCTGATCTTTCCTTCCTTGTTTTCATTATTCATTTAATTCCTTCATTTCCTGTCATCATTCATTCATTCTTTCCATTCCTATTTACTCATTCATTCATTCTTTCACTCACTCCTCTTTCCCCATCCATCCACCCCTCATTCATTCATTTATATTTTCTTCTTTTCCATCTCTTTAATAGTTAATTAATTATTGTATCTGCCCAGCCCATCATTCATTCATTTATTCTTACATTCATTCCTTTCTTCTTTCCATACACACACCAGTCATGGTTTCAGACTTAATTCATTCACTCCTTCTTACTATTCATCTTTCATTCATTGGTTAAATTCTTATCTACATCCTTCCTTCATGTTTCTTCTTTCCTTCTTTCAGTTACCGGTAATCACTCTTTATTTCTATATAAATATCTGTAAATCTATCTTTTTTTTCTTTCATATATTCACTCAACCCATTCATTGGTTCATTTTTAATCCTTCATTTATTACATTTAAATCGTTCATCTGTTCTTTCCTTCTTTCTTGCCATTTATTTATTTATTCTTTTATTCTCTGTCACTCCTTGTCTCTGTCACCTATCCTTTCCATTAATTATTATAAAGTCTGTCCTAGATTTGTTTATTTCATTCAATTATTCCTTTATATCAAATCTTTAATTCATAGTTTCAATCATTCCCAACATCCAATCATTCATTCTTTCTTCCTCCCTGCTTTCTTTCCATCTTTCGTTATTTGCTTCCCCATCCACCCATCCCTCCCTCACTACTTCCTTCTCTCATTCAATTGTTCTCTCATTCACTCCTTTCCATCCATCCATCCTTCACTCAGTGACTCCTCTATCCATATTTCTCTCATTTGTTCTTTCATTCACTCATTTCCATTCTCTCATCCATCCATCATCTCCATCCATCCATCCCTCACTCACTACTTCCTTCTTTCATTCATTTGTTCTTTCATTCAATCTATCATTCACTCAATCAGTGACTCCTTCATCATCCTTCTCTCTTTTGTTTTCATTCACTGCTTTCCATTCTCCTTCCCACCCACTCACTTACTAAAACACACTCAGTCACTCACTCACCCACCCACTGAAACACACACACACACACACACACACACACACACTGAATCATACACTCAGTCACTCACTGAAACATACACAGTCACTCACTCACTGAAACATACACTCACTCACTCACTCACACACACACTCACTGAAACATAAAGTCACTCAGTCACTCATTCACTGAAACATACAGTCACTCACTCACTGAAACATACACTCACTCACTCACACACTCACTGAAACATACACTCACTCAGTCACTCACTGAAACATACTCAGTCACTCACTCACTGAAACATACAGAGTCACTCACTCACTGAAACATACACAGTCACTCACTCACTGAAACATACACTCACTCACTCACTCACTCACTGAAACACACTCACTCAGTCACTCACTCAGTTCAACATACACTCAGTCACTCACTGAAACACACTCAGTCAGTCAGTCAGTCAGTCAGTTACTCACTTACTCACTGAAACACACACAGTCACTCTCTCACTGAAACATACACTCACTCACTCACTTACTCACTAAAACATACACTCAGTCACTCACTGAAACACACTCAGTCAGTCAGTCAGTCAGTTACTCACTCACTGAAACACACTCAGTCACTCACTGAAACATACACTCACTCACTCATTCACTGAAACACACTCAGTCACTCACTCACTGAAACATACACTCACTCACTCACTCACTCACTCACTGAAACATACACTCACTCAGTCACTCACTCACTGAAACATACACTCACTCAGTCACTCACTCACTGAAACATACAATCACTCACTCACTCACTCACTCACTGAAACATACATTCAGTCACTCACTGAAACATACACTCACTCAGTCACTCACTCACTGAAACATACACTCAGTCACTCACTAAAACATACACAGTCACTCACTCACTGAAACATACAATCACTCACTCACACACTCACTGAAACATAAAGTCACTCAGTCACTCATTCACTGAAACATACAGTCACTCACTCACTGAAACATACACTCACTCACTCACACACTCACTGAAACACACACTCAGTCACTCACTCACTGAAACATACACTCAGTCACTCACTCACTGAAACATACACTCACTCACTCACACACTCACTGAAACATACACTCAGTCACTCACTGAAACATACAGTCACTTAGTCACTCACTCACTGAAACATACACAGTCACTCACTCACTGAAACATACACTCACTCACTCACTGAAACATAAACAGCCACTCACTCACTCACTTCAACATACACTCAGTCACTCACTGAAACACACTCAGTCAGTCAGTCAGTCAGTCAGTCAGTTACTCACTTACTCACTGAAACACACACAGTCACTCTCTCACTGAAACATACACTCACTCACTAAAACATACACTCAGTCACTCACTGAAACACACTCAGTCAGTCAGTCAGTCAGTCAGTCAGTTACTCACTCACTGAAACACACTCAGTTACTCACTCACTGAAACATACACTCACTCAGTCACTCACTCACTCACTGAAACATACACTCGGTCACTCACTGAAACACTCAGTCAGTCAGTCAGTCAGTCAGTTACTCACTTACTCACTGAAACACACTCACTCACTCACTCACTCACTCACTCACTCACTCACTCACTGAAACATACACTTAGTCACTCACTCACTCACTCACTCACTCACTGAAACATACACAGTCACTCACTCACTGAAACATACACTCACTCACTCACTCACTCACTGAAACACACTCACTCAGTCACTCACTCAGTTCAACATACACTCAGTCACTCACTGAAACACACTCAGTCAGTCAGTCAGTCAGTTACTCACTTACTCACTGAAACACACACAGTCACTCTCTCACTGAAACATACACTCACTCACTCACTCACTTACTCACTAAAACATACACTCAGTCACTCACTGAAACACACTCAGTCAGTCAGTCAGTCAGTTACTCACTCACTGAAACACACTCAGTCACTCACTGAAACATACACTCACTCACTCATTCACTGAAACACACTCAGTCACTCACTCACTGAAACATACACTCACTCACTCACTCACTGAAACATACACTCACTCAGTCACTCACTCACTGAAACATACACTCACTCAGTCACTCACTCACTGAAACATACAATCACTCACTCACTCACTCACTGAAACATACATTCAGTCACTCACTGAAACATACACTCACTCAGTCACTCACTCACTGAAACATACACTCAGTCACTCACTGAAACATACACAGTCACTCACTCACTGAAACATAAAGTCACTCAGTCACTCATTCACTGAAACATACAGTCACTCACTCACTGAAACATACACTCACTCACTCACACACTCACTGAAACACACACTCAGTCACTCACTCACTGAAACATACACTCAGTCACTCACTCACTGAAACATACACTCACTCACTCACACACTCACTGAAACATACACTCAGTCACTCACTGAAACATACAGTCACTCAGTCACTCACTCACTGAAACATACACAGTCACTCACTCACTGAAACATACACTCACTCACTCACTCACTCACTGAAACACACTCACTCAGTCACTCACTCAGTTCAACATACACTCAGTCACTCACTGAAACACACTCAGTCAGTCAGTCAGTCAGTTACTCACTTACTCACTGAAACACACACAGTCACTCTCTCACTGAAACATACACTCACTCACTCACTTACTCAATTCAATTCAATTCAATTCAATACTCACTAAAACATACACTTAGTCACTCACTGAAACACACTCAGTCACTCACTGAAACATACACTCACTCACTCATTCACTGAAACACACTCAGTCACTCACTCACTGAAACATACACTCACTCACTCACTCACTCACTCACTCACTGAAACATACACTCACTCAGTCACTCACTCACTGAAACATACACTCACTCAGTCACTCACTCACTGAAACATACAATCACTCACTCACTCACTCACTGAAACATACATTCAGTCACTCACTGAAACATACACTCACTCAGTCACTCACTCACTGAAACATACACTCAGTCACTCACTGAAACATACACAGTCACTCACTCACTGAAACATACAATCACTCACTCACACACTCACTGAAACATAAAGTCACTCAGTCACTCATTCACTGAAACATACAGTCACTCACTCACTGAAACATACACTCACTCACTCACACACTCACTGAAACACACACTCAGTCACTCACTCACTGAAACATACACTCAGTCACTCACTCACTGAAACATACACTCACTCACACACTCACTGAAACATACACTCAGTCACTCACTGAAACATACAGTCACTCAGTCACTCACTCACTGAAACATACACAGTCACTCACTCACTGAAACATACACTCACTCACTCACTGAAACATAAACAGCCACTCACTCACTCACTTCAACATACACTCAGTCACTCACTGAAACACACTCAGTCAGTCAGTCAGTCAGTCAGTTACTCACTTACTCACTGAAACACACACAGTCACTCTCTCACTGAAACATACACTCACTCACTAAAACATACACTCAGTCACTCACTGAAACACACTCAGTCAGTCAGTCAGTCAGTCAGTCAGTTACTCACTCACTGAAACACACTCAGTTACTCACTCACTGAAACATACACTCACTCAGTCACTCACTCACTCACTGAAACATACACTCGGTCACTCACTGAAACACTCAGTCAGTCAGTCAGTCAGTCAGTTACTCACTTACTCACTGAAACACACTCACTCACTCACTCACTCACTCACTCACTCACTCACTCACTCACTCACTCACTCACTGAAACATACACTTAGTCACTCACTCACTCACTCACTCACTGAAACATACACAGTCACTCACTCACTGAAACATACACTCACTCACTCACTCACTCACTGAAACACACTCACTCAGTCACTCACTCAGTTCAACATACACTCAGTCACTCACTGAAAC